TGCTAGTAGTCGTTGTAGTAGGTGTAGTAGTAGTGGTGGTAGTAGTAGTAGTCGTCGTAGTAGTAGTAGTAGTAGTAGTAGTAGTAGTAGTAGTAGTAGTCGTGTAGTAGTAGTTAGGTAGTAGTAGGTAGTCAGTAGTATGTAGGTAGTGTAGTCGTAGTACTTGTAGTAGTAGTAGTAGTAGTAGTAGTAGTAGTAGTAGTAGTAGTAGTAGTAGTAGTAGTAGTAGTAGTAGTAGTAGTAGTAGTAGTAGTAGTAGTAGTAGTAGTAGTAGTAGTAGTAGTAGTAGTAGTAGTAGTAGTAGTAGTAGTAGTAGTCGTAGTAGTAGTAGTAGTAGTAGTAGTAGTAGTAGTAGTAGTAGTGGTAGTAGTAGTAGTAGTAGTAGTAGTAGTAGTAGTAGTAGTAGTAGTCGTAGTAGTAGCAAGAGTCGTAGTAGTAGTAGTAGTAGTAGTAGTAGTAGTAGTAGTAGTAGTAGTGGTAGTAGTAGTAGTAGTAGTCGTCGTCGTCGTCGTCGTCGTAGTAGTATTCGTAGTACTAGTAGTAGTCATAGTAGTAGTAGCAGTAGTAGTAGTAGTAGTAGTAGTGGTGGTAGTCTTAGTAGTAGTCGTAGTAGTAGTAGTAGTAGTAGTAGTAGAAGTAGTAGTAGTAGTAGTAGTAGTAGTAGTATTTTTTTCAGTATTAGTATTAGTATTAGTAGTAGTATTAGTATTAATATTCGTATTCCTATTAGTGTTAGTATTAGTATCGGTATTATTATTAGTGGAAGTCGTAGTAGTAGTAGTAGTCGTAGTAGTAGTAGTAGTAGTAGTAGTAGTAGTAGTAGTAGTAGTAGTAGTAGTAGTAGTAGTGCTACTACTAGTCGTAGTAATGATCGGAGCAACCGTCTTTCTCTCAAGAATTCGCAAGGGCCCGAGCGCAAGCCTTTTTGAATCTCATCTCCTTGTTGCGAAACCGTGCGTTTTCTCCAAATAGGCCTGTCTTATAGGAACCAGGGTTCATCATACGTAATTGGTCTTTAGCACCACCCTTCTGTTCAATGGCACCCCCTTTTTCCAATGCCCCCCCTTTTCCAATGGCGCTTGCTTGCTTGCTCTTGCGTACTTGCTCTCGCTTGCTAGCTCTCGCTTGCCCTTGCTTGCTTGCACTTGGTCGCTGGCTATTGTTTGCTTGTTATTGTTCGCTTGCGCTTGCTTGCTTCCACTTGCTTGCTTGCGCTTGCTTGATTTTGCTCCTCCCATTCTCCTCCCGTCCTGCCCCCGTTCTCCTTTCGTCCTCCTCCCATCCTCCTCTCGTCCTCCTCCTTTCTATCTATTTGGAGTCAATGCTGGCTGACATTTAGATGCTTTCGGTGCACTCGATCTTGAAATCTGTACGACACCTTCGGTTTTAAAGAGATTTCGGCAGGCGAGCGCGAGGACGCGCGCGTGTGTGCACTTCGTCCAATTTCCCCAAACGGTGCTCGCACTTAGGTTCTGACTTGGCTTAATTATCTCGGGGTGAATGGCGGCTTTTGCGGGCGGTGCCGCCCGTCGCCGTCGCCGCCGTTCGAGGCGAGTGGCGGTTTTTGCGGGCGGTGCCGCCCGTCGCCGCCGTCGCCGTCGCACAGATTGCAACACATAAATCCCTTTTTTTGGAAAGAGAATAGGTTCTGCGCCCCCCCCCGGGGATTATCGGTGTTCCTTCTCGTATCGCAATTTGCATGGGGTGCCGCCCCCTGGTCCCTCTAACATTTGAACTCGTACCATCCCAACCAAGCCGATACCCGCCCCCCCCGCAATCCTCTGCAAGAACTGCTATGCGCGCGCACTCGTGCATCCGTTGCAAATCCGTTGCAACGGATGAATCCGTCAAACAGAAGTTTGGAGGAATCCGTAGCGAATGTGTGACGAAATGCACCCGCGCGCGTCGTCGCGCGCTCATGCTGAAATCCTTCACATACCGTCGGTGCCGTAAGGAATTCAACATCGAGTGCCCAAGCAACATCTAAAAACACATGGCTTCGCAGCACGGATGTTCAAAACAACGTGTGCGCGTGTTTGCGATTCTTAAGAAAGCCATCGGTTTTCTTACATTCTCAGACCATGCTACCATACGGGCTTCGCGCGTGCATGTCGAAATCTTTCGGGCGCCCTTGCGCGCGTGCCGTCGCGAAAATCTTTTCAAACATATGAGACGAAGTGCGCGCGCGCGTCGTCGCGCGCGCATGTCAGAATCCGTCAACAAACCTTGGTTTCGTAACGATTTCAAGTCCGAGTGTCAACACAACAAGCAAAACGAACATGGTTTCGCAACATCACTTTTCAAAAAGGGTGCGCTCGCGCTCTTGCGAATTCTTGAGACAACCATATGTGTTATCAACATTTTGATGGAATTCTGCCAAGCGGGCCCTTCGCGCCGCATGCCGACATCATTCGCACGCCCTTGCGCGCGTGCTTGGGGGGGGGACGATCCGTGTCAAATAATGCAATGCGGGCCACTCGCGCGTCGGCCGCGCGCGCATGTCGAAGCCTGTCGAAAACCTTCATCACCGACGCGAGGACGCCGTCATCGTCGTCGGCGTGATCAGCATCGGCGCTCGCACTGGCCGCGCCTTCGTCGTTGTCAACATCGCCACCGGCATCGCTACTATCATCATCGTGTCTACCGTTGTCGACGTTGCCATGATACCGCGTTCGCCCGAGTCGCCGACTCGCACTGAAGTGCCCGCTGGGATGTGCCCAGCGGTCAGCACCACCGCGGCCACGTCGGTCGCGCCAAGCTGCGCGCGCGATCATGCGCGGGCTGTTGCGGCCAAAGAGAGGCACCAACCAGCGCCAAACACTCATCGCAATCGCCGCCGCAAGGGGTTTGCAAACCAAGTTGCGGGTGGGTGGGTGGGATGTTTGCGCGAGCAGTGTGGTGGTCAATTTCAAGTTGAGCAATGGTGGATGGCCTCGCGTAGATTGCACCATGTAGATTCCCCTTTCTAAAAGAAGAATAGACTTGACCCCCGGCAATTAGGATTCAGCCCCATCGTCCATCCTAACTATGAGCTCATACTAGCCCAGCCAAGCCGGCACCCTCCCCCCGACATCCTCTGTAACATCTATATTATTATGTGAAACAAGAATCGTAAGTTTTCAAGAATCCCTTGCAACAAATTGGGCGAAGTGAACACGCGCGCGTCGTCGCGTGCGCATGCCGGAATCCTTCCAATCCATCGGTGTCATAAGGATTTCGAGATCGAATTCCCAAACCACATACAAATCACAAATTTTCGCAACATTGATTTTCTAACAAATTTTACGCGCGCTCTTGCGAAATCTTAAGACGACCATCGGCTTCTCAATATTTTCAACAAAGTACTACCAAACGGGCTTCGCGCGCGCATGTCGAAATCTTTCGAACGCCCTTGCGCGCGTGCCGTCGCGAGAATCCTTGGCAAAAGCGGGACGACATGCAGACGCGCGCGTCGTCGCGCGCGCATGCCGGAATCCTTCAAAAACGTTTGGTTGTGGACGGATTTCAATTTGAGTTTCCAAAGCAAAACATAGAACAACAAAGGGTTTCGCAACAATGATTTGCTAAAAATGCTTACGCGCGGGCTTTTGCGAAATCTTAAGACGACCATCGGTTTCTCAATCTTTTCTCAAAAAAAATACCACCAAACTGGCTTCGCGCGTGCCGTCGCGCGCGCGTGCCATCGCGCGACGGGTCGGTTACTTACGATTTCGGAAAGATTTCAAAATCTTGTGACACAAAAACATACAAAAACACCAGGGCTTGCAACGCGGATTTTCAACAAAAGCGTGCGCGCGCGCTCTTGCGTCGTCGTCGTCGTCGTCGTCGACGTCCTCCCTCCTCCCTCGTCGTCGTCGTCGTCGTCGTCGACGTCCTCCCTCCTCCCTCGTCGTCGTCGTCGTCGTCGCCGTCGTCGTCCTCTGTCTTTCCTTGTCGTCGCCGTCGTCGTCTTGGCGTCGTCGTCGTTTCCGTCGTCGTTGTCGCCGTGGTTTTCCTTCCTCTTCCTTCGACGTCGTCGTCCGTCGTCGACGTCTCGTCGTCGTCCCTCCTATTTCGTCGCCGTCGTCGTCGTCGTCGTCGTCGTCTTCCCTCCTCCCTCGTCGTTGTCGTCGTCGGCGTCGCCGTCCTCCCTTCTTCGTCGTTCGCGTCGTCGCCGTCCTCCCTCCTCCCTCGTCGTCGTCGTCGTCGCCGTCGTCGTCCTCCCTCCTCCCTCGTCGTCGTCGTCGTCTTCGTTGGTGGCGTCGTCGTCGTCGCCGTCGTCGTCTTCGTCGTCGTCGTCATTGTCATCGTCGGCGTCGTCGTCGTCGTCGTCGGCGTCGTCATCGTCGTCGTCGTCGTCGTCGTCGGCGTTGTCATCGTCGTCGGTGTCGTCGTCGTCGTCGGTGTCGTCGTCGTCGTCGTTGTCGTCGTCGAAGTCGTTGAAGACGTCGTCGGTGTCGTCGTAGTTGGTGTCGGCGGCGTCGTCGTCGTTGTTGTTGCTGTCCTCGTCGGCGTCGGTGTCGTTGCCAAGTGCCATTTGGTACCTACCGTCACGGTCTTACGAGGTCTTGCGACCAAGTTGCGGGTGAGAGGGTGGGATGTTTGCACGAGCAGTGGAGAGGACAGCTTCAAGACAGTCAAAGTGAATTGCACCACATATATTGAACCGCGTGGATTGCGTCACATAGGTTGCCGCGCGTAAATTGTACCATGTAGGTTGCACCGTGTAGATTGCATTACATAGGTTGCACCGCGTAGATTGCACCACATGTATTGCGCCGCGTAGATTGCACCGCATATCTTGCATTACGTAGGTTGCATCGCATACATTGCACCACATACATTGCACAGCGTAGTCTGCAAAACCCTATTCTTTGGGGTCCACGCTGGCTAACATTTCGTTTTTGACGTTTTCGTTCTTTCTTGGGCCTCTGGGGCCCCCCAGGGACTCCCTGGAGATCTCCATAGTTAGAAAATTAGCAAGATGGAAGAGGGCCTGTAGAAGAGCTCGGCCCCGACAGGTCGTCGGCGACGACTTTGTGTCCCAGGCCCTCAATGCGAGGCCGGTATCCTTCGACGAGTTGCAGGCCGCCAAGGACCGGGAAGCTGTCGCCCCCTCCCCCTATCTGCTGGCCTGCCTGTTCGCGTGCTTGTTTAGGGCGTTTCTTTATTGACACACCCGCGCTCGCTGGCTTGCGCGCGGCGCGGGCAGCGCAAGAAAATCGCCGACCCGTAAAAGTGACCTTCCGCCAGAGTGACCTTTTGGTGCGGGCCTTGTGGGGCCCCCAGATCCCCGAGTGCGCGCTGGCAGCGGCCTGCGCGCTTGGGCTTGGCCCCCTCGCGCCACCTCCCTTCAGAAGCCGCCCACCAAAGGTCACTCTTGCCTAGGGTCGGTCATTCATGCGTGCAGCCGAGAGAAGTGCCCCTCGCGGTGCGTGCCGCTCCTTGCCCGCGCAGTGCGGCCCATTCAGAGATCGTCGCGCCCTCGTGCGCAGGGTCCCTCCCCTTTGTTCGCCCACGCCAACGCTCGCTCACTCACGCACGAGGCGTACTCGCTGGCTCCCTGTTTGCTCGCTCGCGCACGCTTGCTCGCTCACGTCTGCACTCGCCCTGCTTGTCCGCTCCTGCGTGCTGACGCCGCAGCGAGCGCTCCGTCTGCTGGCCGCGTCCTCTCTGCGGGCCCGGGCGGGTCGCCCGTGCTCGGCGACTGCCATCGGCGGGGGCCTCGCCGGGGTGCACCCGAGAGACCACCGCGGAGCCGCCCCGGGGGCGGCCTCGGAGGCGCCTCTGGGCTCGGTGGAGTTCCCTATGGAGCCACGAAGCGCTGTACTGGGCGTGGCGGACGCATGCGGGCTGCACCACTGGGACCTTCGGGGAAGCTCCCTATGGGGCCACGAAGCGCTGCACAGCACCCGGGGGGGCACCTTTCGCGGCAGCGCCGGCGCCGCGCGGGGGCGCTCTGTGTGCCCGCGGTGCCGCCCTGATGGTGGGGTCCGTGCCGGGTCGACGCGAGTGCGACGCGCGAACGTGCAAGGTTGATCGCCGCCTCCTCCTCCTCCTCCTCCTCCTCCTCCTCCTCCTCCTCCGCCTCCTCCTCCTCCTCCTCCTCCTCTCTCCTTTCTCCTCTCTCCTCCTCCTCCTGCTCCTCCTCCTCCTGCTCCTCCTCCCCCGCCTTCTCCTCCTTTTTCTCCTCTCCCTTCTCTCCTTTCTCCTCTCTCCACTCCTCGTCCTGCGCCTCCTCCTCCCCGATCTTTCACAGCTGAGCGACCCGCGCGGTGCCAGACACCAGCGCCGGGGTCGTCACGGCACGAGCCTGCCGTACGCGCCGCGGCCGCCCGGGAACGCGACGGCGCGGCGGCTGCAGCGCGTTCGCACACGTGTGCGCACCCGCTTCCGTCGTGCGCTCGGCCGCTCGGGCCCCTGCAGAGGCGGGCGCTCCGCAGCTCGCCCCCTGCCGCTGGAGGGGAGAGAGCGGTGGGGGCAGGCCTTCTCAGCAGGCGGCGGGGCTTCCGAGAAGGCTTGAATCGTGCCGGTCTTTCTACAGGGGGAATCTTCAGAAAGATAGTCAAGAAATAGTCGGGAGACGATTTTGGAGTATTTTTGAGCATGTTTGGGTGGTATTTGTTTGACTATTTTTCATGTTTCGGCCAAAATCCGCCTGTAGGGGGGCACGCCCGACCTGAGAGAAGGCCCAGGACACTTTTCGGGAGGCTCGGGAAGCTGTTCAGGATGCCTTCTGAGGCGGCCCGCCCCCTCCTGCCTTCCCCCCTTGGGCGCGCCGCCGGCACTCGCGTCCTCGGAAGTGGCGCCGGGGGGCGGAGCGGCCGGGTCGCAGACGGAGCCGCTGCAAGCCCCTGCTGGGAATGGCGGTTGAGCGAGTAATGGAGAGGAGAGGGGTGGCGATGAGGAGGACGGGGATGATGAGCAGGCTAGGACCGCTAGGAAGCTGTTGCTGCTGATGATGCTGATGATGACATGGATGATGATGGTTTGGTGGTGGTGGTGATGATGATGCTGATGATGACATGGATGATGATGGTGGTGGTGGTGGTGGTGACGCTGATGATGGTGATTACGGTGATGGTTATGGTTATGGTGGTGGTGGTGATAATGGTGGTGGTGATAATGGTGGTGGTGATGACGGGATGATGATGATGATGATGATGATGATGATGATGATGATGATGATGATGATGATGATGATGATGATGATGATGATGATGATGATGATGATGATGATGATGATGATGATGATGATGATGATGATGATGATGATGATGATGATGATGATGATGATGATGATGATGATGATGATGATGATGATGATGATGATGATGATGATGATGATGATGATGATGATGATGATGATGATGATGATGATGATGATGATGATGATGATGATGATGATGATGATGATGATGAGGGAACGGCGGAGGAGGAGCATGGATGGATTGATGGATGGCAGGAGCGACATAGCGAGAGCGGGGAGGTTGATCGGGAAAGAAGAAGCGAGGGAGTGAGCCAGAGCAGCAGGGGATAGAGGCCCTAAGACGTCTCTTTTAGTCTGGAGGGATGGGTGGAGGGAGGGAGGGATGGGTGGGGGGAGGGATGGGCGGAGGGAGGGATGGGGGTGGAGGGAGGGAGGGAGGAGGGATGGGTGGAGGGAGGGGACCGGGGGGCGGGAGGGAGGGATGGGTGGAGGCAGGGAGGGATCCCGTCTCTTCGTCCAAGATCCGGCCTCTTCGTTCACGGCTGAGGCTCTGGCCTCAGAAGACGAAAGATGCAGTTCTCGCAGCTCGTAGTATCGTTGGCCCTCTGCCGCCGATGTAGTCTGAGTTGGGGCACGCGACAGAAGGAGGGCAGAACGAGAGGATGTGGATGGATGGGAGGGAGGGCGGGCGTGAGGCGGACTGAAGGAGGGAGAGGGAGTCCTTGAGCAGAGCGTCCTAGGATGTGACCAGCTCGACCGTCGCTTCATGAGTCGCAGAGTCGCGAAGGGGCAGTCGGGAACGGGGAGAGGGGGAACGAGGGGGTACCGGGGTACCGGGGAGAGTGTGGGAAGGGTTGCTGGATGGAGGGAGTCACGAAGTGACGGCTGGACGAGAGGGATGGTGGGGCAGGCAGGGAGGAAAGTGATGCTGCTGATGATGTTGATGCTGCTGCTGCTGATGCTGCTGATGATAATGACGATGGCGATGACGTTGACGACAATGATGTCGATGCTGCTGATGAAGCTGTTTATGATGATGATGATGATGATGATGATGATGATGATGATGATGATGATGACGATGATGATGATGATGCTGATGATGATGATGATGATGATGATGATGATGATGATTATGATGATGATGATGATGATGTCGAGGATGATGTTGTCGAGGATGATGACGACGATGATGCTGATGATGATAATCATGAAGATGATGACGTGGACGATCGTGATGAGGCGGCTGCTGATGCTGATGATGCTGCTCTTGCTTATGATGGTGCCGATGCTGATAATGATGATGGTGGTGGTGGTGATGATGACGATACTGATGACCATGATGCTGATGCTGTTTGTCATGATGAAGAAGCTGATGCTGATGATAATGTCTGCTTACGATGATGCTGCTGATGATGATGATAGTGCTGATCAGGGTGACGCTGATGATGATGAGCTCGCCGATTAACGGCTCATGCACCTCGATCGTCGGCGGCGGTGAAGAGCCGAGCTCGCCGAACACGTGGCGATGTCCGAGCCCTGCCCGCGGCTCCCTTCGACTCAGAAGAATACCTGGTTGTTCGGGGCACGTCGCCACCGAGGAGAGCTGAGAGCTCCCGCCGCCACGGCTCGAGTCGCCATTGAAGTTCGGCCCCGAACGCGACGCGCCCCGGGAGTGGCCAGGGCAGCGGCGGTGTGTCGGTACCTCGGCACGGCGAGGCACGGCTCGGCACGGCGAGGCACGGAGAGGCCCCCCCCCGCAGGATGCCGGGAGCAAGTCCTGGGCCGACGTCAGGTCGGTGTCGGTGCCCAATGCGAGCGCGATCCTGGCGGACTCGAAGGAGAAGGACGCCGACCACTACATCAAGACTGCGCCGCAGAGCACCCACATGCTTGGCAGGCTGCACGGCAGCACCTGGGACAGCGTCCGCCCTCCGCGGCGGCACGAGGAGGGAGGAAAGGGAGAGAGGGAGGGGGGTGGAGGAGAGAGGGAGGGCAGGGGAGGGGAGGGGAGGGGAGGAGAAAGGGAGGGGGGGGAGAGAGAGGGAGGGCAGGGGAGGGAAGGGGAGTGGAGGGGGAGGGGAGGGGAGGGGAGGGGGGGAGGGATGATGTTAGTGATGGTGATGGTGATTGTGATGATGATCTTATGATGATGCTGCTGATGATGCTGATGATGCTGATGCTGACGATAATGGTAATAATACTGATGCTGATGATGGTGCTGATGATACTGCTGCTGATGATCAGTATGATGATGGTGACGATGATGATGAAGATGATGATGATGCTGATGCTGATGATGCTGATGAGGATGATGCTGATGATGCCGATGAGCGTGTGGATGATATGATTATGATGAAGATGCTTCTGGTGATGTGATGGTGACGCTCATGATGATGATGCTGATACTGATGCTGATGCTGATGCTGATGCTGCTGTTGATGATATTGATGCTGATGCTACTGCTGATGAGGATGCTGATGTTGCTGATGGTGGTGGTGGTTGTGGTGTTGGTGGTGGTGGTGGTGATGATGATGTCGATGATACTGCTGCTGCTGATGATGATAACGATGACGATGCTGATGATGATGGTGGTGGTGGTTACGATGGTGATGAAGATGATGCTGATGCTGATGAGGATGATGCTGATGATGCTGATGAGTGTGTGGATGCTATGATTATGACGATATGATGATGATGCTGATGATGACGATAATGATGACGTGCACGATCATGATAATGTGGCTGCTGATGCTGATGATGCTGCTGTTGCTTATGGTGATGCCGATGTTGTTGCTGCTGATGATGATGATGGTGGTGGTGGTGGTGGTGATGATGACGATACTCATGACCATGATGATGATGCTGATTGTGGTGATGAAGAAGCTGATGCTGACGATACTGCTGCTTACGATGATGATGATGCTGATGATGATGATGATGATGATGATGATGATGGCGGTGGTGGTGATGATGACGATGCTGACCATGCTGCTGCTCCTGATGACTATGATGATGGTGGTTGTGGTGATGCAACTGATGGGGATTATGATGATGATGAGGAGAAGGTTGCTGCTGCTGCTGATCGTGATGACGCTGATGAAGATGCGGATGGTGAATCTGACGATGATGATGAGGATGATGATGATGCTGTGGATGATGATGTTGATGATGATGATGCTGATACTGATGATGAGTATAATGATGCTGATGCTGATGGGTCTGCTGATGACGATGACGATGCTGAGGATGCTGATGATGCTGGTAGTGGTGGTGACGATGCGGATGATGCTGATGACGATGATGCTGATGATGACGATGATGCTGATGATGCTGAGGATGCTGATGATGCTGATGACGATGCTGATGATCATGAATTGAGGAAGAGGGGGATAATGTTGGGAGCGATGACGAGGGGCAGGAAGGGAGCGAGGGAGGAGGACGAGGAGAGGGATGAGAAGGGTGTAGAGTTGAACATGGAGGATGGAGAACGAATTGGGATGAGGAAGGGGGTGAGGAGGAGGAGGAGGTGAACGCGGAGAAAGAGCAGGGTGACAATGTTTGATGGGGGATGGAAGGTGGAGGAAGAGGAGTAGGAGGAGGAGGCGGAGAAGGGGAGGATCTGACCAGGAGGATGAGGCTGAGCAGGGGAGGGAGGAAAGCAGACATAGGCTGATGGAAGACGGGGCAGACCCAGGTGTGGAGGGAAGAGGGGGACAGTGGACATGCGGGACAGAGAAGGGCTGCATAAAGGACGGATGGGGTATCGACATATGCATGACAATATGTGTATGTATGTTCATACTCTCTCTCACACACACACCGACGTATACATCTATACATATATATATATATCTAGATAAAAATACGTATGGGCTCTGCTTATCATCCTTGCTGGTCGCACACACATCTCGAGGGTTGGCGACGGGAAACAGGTAAAACACAGAAACATACGACCAAAGGAGCCAGGTTAGAACACGCCAAGAAGGGATTCGATTGGAAAACGGCACACGAGGAATTTGTTGGACTACGCTACGAATGTATTCGAAAGTAACGCCTCGCAGCAGGAATCTTTTGAGAAACACCCCAAACGGATTCTATCATAAAGCCTCAGAGCAATGCAAAGCGATGCAAAACATTGCAAAGCATTGCAATGCATTGCAACGCAATGGAAAATATGAAAAGCAATGCAATGCAATGCAATGCAATGCAATGCAATGCAATGCAATGCAACGCAACGCAATGCAATGCAAAACAATGAATGCAACACAATGCAAAGCTATGCAAAGTGCGAGCCTCGCACAATCAACATCGTGACCAAGGACAGCGGTCACGGGCGGCGAAGGGCGGTCACAAGCTGGCCGGAGCGACACCAGGGCCCAGGTTCCTTAGAAGAGGAGTGAGAACCCTAAGTGCAAACACCTGCTGTGGGAACGTATACATCTATATATACACACATTTATTGCCCTTTGTGCACTCAGCGCGTCTTCTGTCCACACCCGCCGGGGTGGAGCAACGCTCGTGGACATGTCGTGGGGGCTCCCCGGCCGTTACCATGTCATTGTTGAGCTACACTGTTGATGCCTCGCTCTCCTAATGCTTTGCTGTGTTCTTGCTCCTTAATCTTTGTCATGTGTGCCGAGCTACACTGTCAATGCCGCGCTTTCCGGTGGCTTTGCTGTGTTCCTGCTCGCAACGCACACCGCCAGAGGCGGCGTGCAAAGAATCGAGCGAGGATGAAGGGACCAGGACGGAGGGAGGAGGAGGAGGACGGCGGGAGGCTGGCGCGAAGAGATGGCGGAGGCCGGTGCCGCCGCTCTCGCCCCCGGGGCCAGGTCCGCTCCATGTCCGTGCCGACGGCCGCCTCGATGACCGGGCCGAAGGACCCAGTGAAGCAGCTGAAGGCCGGATCTCGTCGTCGTCCTCCTCTCGGCGGCGCGCGGAGAGGAGAAGGAGGAGGAGGAGGAAGAGGAGGAGGAGCAGGAGGAGGAGGAGGAGCAGGAGGAGGAGAGGAGGAGGAGGAGGAGGAGGAGGAGGAGGCTGAGGAGGAGGAGAGGAGGGGAGGGGGAGGAGAGAGAGGAGGAGGAGGAGGAGGAGGAGGAGGAGGGAGGAGGAGGAGGAGGAGGGAGGAGGAGGAGGGAGGAGAGAGGAGGAGGAGAAGAAGAAGGAGGGGAGGAGGAGCAGGAGGAGGAGGAGGAGGAGGAGGAGGAGGAGGAGGAGGAGAGGAGGAGAGGAGGAGGAGGAGGAGGAGGAGGAGGAGGAGGAGGAGCAGCAAGAGGAGCAGGAGGAAGAGGAGGAGGAGGAGGAGGAGGAGGAGGAGGAGGAGGGGGACGGAGGAGGGAGGGGAGGAGGAGAGGAGGAGGAGGAGGAGGAGGAGAGGAGGAGGAGGAGGAGGAGGAGGAGGAGGAGGAGGAGGAGGAGGAGGAGGGGGACGGGAAGAGGAGGAGGAGGAGGAGGAGGAGGAGGAGGAGGAGGAGAAGCTGAAGCGTCCTCCTCCTCTCGGCAGCGCGCGCCAGGGGCGGCGCGAGGTGGGGCAGGCCTTCTCAGAAGGCTCGGAAGACGGCCGCGGGTCCTCGAGAAGTTTTTGGAAGCCTTCCCCGAAGGAACTGAAGAGGCCTCGGGCCTTCGATAAGTGTTGTGGGCCTTCCTCTAAGTATTTTTTTACTAGTCGCCCAAAGTCCGTTTGGGGTGACATGCCCGACCTAATAGTAAGCCTTCCTCGAAGACACTGAAGAGACGTCGGGCCTTGGAGAAGAAGTGCTGTGGGCCTTCTGCGAAGACACCGAGAAGTGCTCAGAAGGCCGGAGGGCTTCCGAGAAGCCTCGCTGCCTTCTGAGGAGGTCTTCTCCCTCTGACTTGCCCCCCCCCCCAGCCTCGCCGCCGATATCCTCGCCATGATCAGTGGCAGCGCTAGCGGGGCTAGGTTTGTGGACGGCGATCAATGGAGGGAGGGCATGTTGCCAAACAAGTCCGGATGTCTACAAACGTTTTACGCATTTTTTGAACACGTGTTCTTATTGCAAGAATGCGCAGACATGTTTAGAAAATGTTTCAAACATTTGAAACACGTTTTTAATTCAAGGATCGAATTGTTAGGGTGTCCATTGTCGTGGCATTCGCAAGGCCAGGAGGTTCGGGGGTTCCGGGGGGGCACGCCTCGACCCCCAAATCGCCCACCGATCGCCGAGCAGGGGGCTTTCGTTCGCGCGTTTCCGGCTTCGCACTCGGGGACCCATCGTGAAGTCGGGCACGTCCCTCTGCAGGAGGAAGATTCGAAATAGTCAAAAAATAGCCTGGTGACGATGTTTTGCATGTTTTTAGCTATTCTTGAGCATGTTTGGGGTATTTTTAATTATTCATCCAACATCCGCCTGTAGGGGGACGTGCCCGACCTAGACCTATCGTGAAGTCGGGTTCGTTCCTCTACAGGAGGATGATTCAAATTAGCCTGGCGAAGAGCCCTACCATCTGCAGTTGTGGGTACAGCCGATGTATGGGGCTCCATGTGGGGCCACGAGGCGTGTGGTGTGTGTGTGTGTGTGTGTGCCAAAATGGGCGCGGTGCGCGCGTGCGAAAGTTGGCATTTGGGCCTTCGGTGGGGCTCCATATGGGGCCACGAAGCGTGTGAGGGGTGCGCCAAAATGGGCGCGGTGGGGGCATGCGAACGCTGGCCTTTGGGCCTTTGGTGGGGCTCCCTCTGGGGCCACGAAGCGTGTGAGGGGTGTGCTAAGATGAATGCGTTGGGCGCATGCGGCAATCGGTGGGGCTCCTTATGGGGCCACGAAGCGTGTGACGGATGTGCAAAAATGGGCGCGCCTGCGAACGCTGGCATTTGGGTCTTCGGTGGGGCCACGAAGCATGTGAGGGGTGTGCCGAAGTGGGCGCGGTGGGCGCATGCGAACGCTTGCATTTGGGCCTTGCGGTGGGGCTCCCTATTGGGACCAAGAAATGTGTAATGGGGTGGAGGAGGAGGAGGAGGAGGAGGAGGAGGAGGAGGAGGAGGGAGGAGGAGGAGGAGAAGAGGAGGAGAGAGGAGGAGGAGGAAGACGAGTAGGAGGAGGAGGAGGAGGAGGAGTAGGAGGAGAAGGAGGGAGGAGGGAGGAGGGAGGAGGGAGGAGGGAGGAGGGAGAAGGCAGAAGGGAGAGGGAGGAGGAGGCGGAGGAGGAGGAGGAGGAGGCGCAGGATGAGGATGAGGATTAGGATGAGGATGAAGATAAGGATGATGACGATGATGACGATGCTGATGATGATGCTGATGCTGATGATGCTGATGACGTTGCTGCTGATGATGCCGATGCTGATGATGCTGATGATGCTGCTGCTGATGATGATGACGACGATGGTGACTATCATGACGATGATGATGATGCTGATGATGATGATGATGATGATGCTGATGCTGCTGTAGCTGCTGATGGCGATGATGATGACGATGATGATGATGCCGACGATGATGATGATGCTGATGCTGCTGCTGCTGATGATGATGCTGATGATGATGCTGATGATGATGCTGATGGTGATGGTGATGCTGATGCTGCTGATGCTGATGATGATGCTGATGATGATGATGATGAAGATGATGAAGCTGATGATGATGATGATGATGATGATGATGATGATGATGACTATGATGATGATGCTGATGATGATGATGCTGATGCTGATGCTGATGCTGATGATCATGATGCTGCTGATGATGATGATGATGATGCTGAAGATGCTGATGATGATGATGATGATGACGATGACGATGACGATAACGATGATGATGATGCTGATGCTGATGCTGATGCTGATGATGATGATGCTGATGCTGATGATGCTGATGATGCTGATGATGATGATGATGATGGTGATGGTGATGGTGATGGTGATGGCGATGGTGATGGTGATGGTGATGATGATGATGATGCTGATGATGGTGATGAGGATGATGATGATGCTGATGATGATGATGATGACGATGATGATGATGATGATGATGATGATGATGGTGATGATGCTGACGATGACGATGATGATGACGATGACGATGATGATGATGATGATGATGATGAAGAAGAAGAAGGTGATGATGATGATGATGATGATGATGAAGATGACGATGACGATGACTATGATGATGATGATGCTGATGCTGATGATGAAGATGAAGATGAAGATGATGAAGATGGAGATGACGATGATGATGATGATGATGGTGATGATGGTGATGATGATGTCTATGATGATGCTGCTG